TTCTAAAGCAACAACAACAGAAGTGTGGGTCTTGCTACAAAGTAAAGATTGTAAAAAGGAAAAATATAAAATTCTTATGTGGTACTGGTACTTGTAGTATTACATACAAATCACACAAGTTTATCATTCTAACTACTGAATCATATTATTATTATTATGAACTAAGTATAAAATTACCTTAAATTATTGAACTTAAAACTACTAAATTAAATGCAAAAGAATTTAAAAATCACAAACTCTTTCAGTTCAAAGTGCTAAGCCTAATTCATGTAAAGACCTTGCACTCGCCACTTGATAGCACTTAACCCTAACAATCGTGGATGAGCTTCTTTCCTAAAAAATATATCTATTTTGAGTTAAGTTTTCAATATAATAATTAATATAAATAGATATATATATGGTACAGCATAACTTAAGCTACTATAGAAAAATAATAAAAGTCACATACATCCCATGCAGTTTTTTCCAGAAGCAAGTTTTCTAAGGCTTATAAAGAAAAAAAAAAGTACTATTGACCAATATTAAATACAACCTCTGCATAAAACGGCAGTTACAAAAATGAGTACCACCCACATTCATATGTAAAATCCAGAGAACAACGTTTCTTCATGTGTTTTGCTTATCATCCTATGATTTGTCAAACGTGGAATAATATGGTACTGAAATTGACACTTTTGACTAGGATTGGCTAAAAGTTTTACAACTGAGGTTTAACACGCCCAGATGCAGTTTTATAAAGAAAGCAGGCTAGAAAAAGGTTTAGATACCAATCATAGAAGGCAGGACCAGTGCTGAAGTGGAAGGAAAAAAATGTTTGAAAATAATTTTCTTCTCAGAGGGCACTTATAGTCTCAAACGTATTTTGGATTTTTTCATTAAATTTCTCTTTAAACTACATTAAATAATACAATTTTCTACAAATAATTGAATGTTTTGCTACTATTTGCAAGAATAAAAATCTGAAATCCAATAAAAGATGAGTTTTCTATAATTTTTTCAGTTCACAAATGTGATTTTGCTCTCATGATAAGACAAAATGGCCATGGCAGGTTAAGGGGTAAGTCATCAGATTACACTCTGACTATTCCACAGTGGTGTCTCATGTTTCTCATCAAGGAAGCATGTGGTGTAGGACTCCTTATTTTCGAATTTTGGAACTTCGTTCTCAGGACTTGTCTTATCTTATCACCCTTCTAGCTTGCCTTGTTCCATGAGTGATGCCTGTGGTAGCATGCCTATTGTCTCAATTCAAACAGATTCTCCCGACAGTATAGATATCACATTGCAAGGTTCAGTTGGATTGCTTCTCATTTTGTGAATCTAATTGGTGAGTTGGCATGTCACCCAACTACTGGCAATTTGGTTTCCAGTACCTAATCTTTGGGCCTTGGCAATAGATGCTTTCCACGTGGACAAGACAGAATTCCCACTCTCAATCTTCTCTTTACTTCATATGTTACCCAGGGTTCCAACCCATTGTCAGATCCTGTTGATCACACTAGATTGGCAGCTACACCTGGGTATCTGCTTCTGAGGTCCCTTCTGGTGTGTCCAACTCTTCCACTTCTTTTTAGGCTCTCTCTGTAGAGGCAGCCATGATTGGATATAGTGCACCTGACTATCCAGGTTTTGCTGTTTTTTCACACACCATTGGGAATTAATTTCTTAAGTTGACATGTATCTGGCTCAGTTTCTGCTTAGTCCGAAAGTCACTTTTTTCAAAGGTAATGACATGCATATCTCAATGTTGTATTGAAAGGAAGTTGAATACTTTTCAATCAGTGGTGTCAACCATAACTCTTTTTTTTATATACTTGGCTCTTTGACAGAGGTTTTTGCATCTTCCACAATCACCATTGTTTATTACAGCCTTGTCAACTACCGTTTGATTATCGCAACCACATACTTTTGAGTCCCCAGTACTCTCCAGAATCCTCACATTCCTAAATGACCATTCCAGTTACCTAATGGGTAGGTTCAGGTTACATCTTCAGTCTCTACATTTGTTTGTAAACTGACTCTTATATATCATGTATCCCCTTGTAGGTTTATTTTTGTGGCTGCTGACCATCGAACATCATCGATCAGAGTGATTTGCACTGGTTGTTTACAGACCACTTTCTGATTCTCTCTTTGTCCTCAGACCAGTTCTTCTTACCTAATATTTTGTCAAAAACGAACGGGGTTCACTCCTTTTCTCTGAATCATCTGCTCACTCTTTCTTTCTTTCTATGTCCAATCAGATTTCAATCTTGGTCATGTTCAGTGAAACTCTTGAAGGTTTTGTTGCCTGCACTTATACCTTTAGAGATACTAGACAACACTTTATTCTGGGTTCTCTTTTAAGGCGATGTATTTTCTTTGAATCACATCTAATCAGATTTCTCTTTTCTATGTCTTTAGCAGTCTGGTTGAATTGCCTGTTGGAGGTCACTATGTGGACTGGTATGTGAATCTCCCCCAACCTTTATCACTCATTATTTGCTTGATCGGGCATTTTATTCTTCTGAGGGTTTTTGCCTACCCCCTGTAACTATCTTAAATATTTCTTCTAGATTATCCAGAGGGGTGACTATTTTTATTTCTACCTTTTAGTGTCTCTTACCTTGTTTTCACAGGATCCCACTCTGTGGCGAGTGTTGGCCAGACAGGTGCACTTTTACCAAACCACTTCTGCACTTGCAATCGCTCTTTCACTATAATTACTACCAGTTGTAACAGACTCTGTAAAGATGAGGTGTTCCGTAAGACCACATAGGAGCTCGCCAGGCGGTATTACCATACTATGCTGGACCTCCACTCATGGACTATCATGAGTAAAGCTAAAGAGGATCCTGCCTGCCCCTGCTGGTCCTCGTATTGAATAAATTGGAGTTGGTTTGCTTTTAAAAATCTAGGGAACTTGGTTCACCTATTGCACTGTTTCCAGAGCACAGATCCTCAGGACTCCCCAATGTGCATCCCCTCCCCAGATTCTACTAGTGGAGTAGGGAGTCCTTACCACACCTGGTTTCCAGTCACTTGGTTGGTGGACAGAGGCTTTTACTCCAGAGTGTTAGAGTGAATTCCTCCATTCTTCAAGAAGAGGGCAAAGTTGAGGGCCCTCCTAGCTGGTTCCCTGGATATTTTTTCACAGATGTTGGTAGGAGTGGCACCATCCTATGTGGGAGTCTACTCAGCTATCTGGTTGGGGTGTGCATGGCCCTTCTTTTTGATCAATATTGGTTCAGTATACTGTTCATGGAAGGAGGTCCACTATCTCCTCGGAATTCTGAACATGGTTTGGTCCCATCCTAGGTCCTTGATTGAGCACAGTTGTTCCACATCTTCCCAATAATTCTTGGGGCAAGTGAAAGGCTTCTTGCCCACTTGGTTGGGGAGTGAGGATTAATGTTCATAATTGTAGACTAGATGAGTTCTGTTCCTTTAATTGAGTAAGGCATACATGATTCCGTCATTCCATGCCTCGGGGTGTTGTCTTTTGGGCTTCTTCAGGTGGAGGAGAAGGTTTTTTTTGTTTGCTTCGGTGTTGCTTACTTTCTCATCATGATTCCGGTGGTTTGGAACATATCCCTCTGTGGCTACAGGTTGGGATCCAATGAAAAGTATATCTATATATATAACATTGCAGTCCAACTGACCTTGCCACCAATGTGGGATATAGGACCAAGACCCCTTAATTCCAACCCCGAGTAGTGAAACCTCGGCTACCTGGTTCGGGCTGGCCTATATTGATGATCACTCACAAACAATTCCATCTTTGATAGGGGAATTAAGTTAGGGTGAAGTACGTACCTGTTCTGGATGTGGTGCAGTTCCTCTACTCTTATCTAGGTACACTCATGATCTATGCTGACACTTTCTGTATGGGTAAAGCCCTCACTGGACCCTCCACCTTCTCAATGTGGGATTCTAGCTATAAGTGGTAGTGGAGGTAAGTATTTTTTGGAAGTTAACATTTTTCTAAATTGAAAATGTATTTCCAATGATACTTACCTCCGCTGACACTCTCCTGCCCTTTGTCCCCACTAAGAGCTTGGGTTAGAGACTGGGATGGTATCAGTCTTGAAAAAGTGATAAAATTATCTGAAAGAGATATTTATATACAGTCTCAGGATAGAGGGCACACTGATGTAGTTGGAGAGTATCACAAGACAATTATTGCCAAGGGCAATTGAGTGGGGTATATCAGACTGGAGGAAGCAAGAAAAAATCAGAGTAATGCTTAGATGGGCAAAGAAGAAACCCTGGTAGCCAAGTAATAGCTGTAAGTGTCAGTGGAGGTAAGTATAATTGGAAATACATTTTTAATTTAGGAAAATGTTAACTTTTATTGGATCACCTGAAAGTCCATAACTAAGAGACTTAAGATGTTAGGTGCACTTTTGTATATAATAGAAAAAATCATCATATTTTATATTTATTAAAGTTATGAGAAGTTTGACAATATCTTTAATTGGCATGGCCAGTTGATGTTAAACATCTTCATTGTAAAGTAACTTGTTTACTTTATGTCATAGGGAATTGGTTTTATTTTTCATTAAGACTATTCCATTTTGGTTTTACATTTTCTTTAAAATAATTTTTCATTATTAATCCCCATGGATTGTATTGTCAGAATATTAAACTGAGTTATAATTTATAAAAACAAAAAACCTGACTTTTTTAGGAGCTTCGAGAAAGGGTGTTGCGTGGGAAATACAGGATACCTTTCTACATGACCACAGACTGTGAAAACTTATTAAAAAAATTCTTAGTTTTAAACCCAACAAAAAGAGCATACTTAGAAGTAAGTTATAATGTTTGATCCATAAAGATGAGTTAAATGTTTTTACGGTTGCTCATTTTGTAATAATTTTTTAACATTTTGTGCCTATTTACCATATTTAATTATATTTTTATAAAACTTCATATAATTCATTTCAAGAACAATGTACGAGTTGTCTGTGAATTAGATTTTATGTGATTGCTCCACTTTAACTCTTTGATGATTAGCTGTGTATGTTAAGGCCACCCTAAGGATTTTAAGTTTAACTGAATAACATAAATTGTTTTGTACAGACCCATATGTGAATTAAATAATCAAAAAGAGTATGAAAGAATTGATTTAACATATTTTTTTCATAACTTTCAAGAAGACATTTTAGTAACAAAACAATAATGTCATGCTGAGGATTTGATATTGGAGCAAAAGAAGTGGAATATCATCATCTTTAGATTCACTTGTCTTAAACTTTTCAATAGAGCTGGTTCTGATATAAACAAACTATAATTGAAGGATGTTAAATATGAGAACTGAAATCCAAATGATAATAAAGTTAAGCTTGTTAGGTGGAGCACTTCATAGTTTATCATTCTTTTACAATTCCATTCTTCACTCATTGTAATAAAATTATTAAAGCACCTTGAATATTGTATAAAATATCATAGTTTGCCAAATTAACTGCAGCTCCTAAAGGAAAATTTTATTTACATACATAAGATCCATGTCAGTTATTTCATGTGTGAGTGGGAGCACAATGTGGAAGTTTTAGATTGAGGGAAAAACACCGAGTCAATATTTGAAAGTCAATATTTAAAGACTGATGGAGGTTGTAAAGTTCAGCTTACAGTTTTGTTTTTTATTTCACAGCTAATTTTGTTTAGATGTTAATTACATCCTAGGGAGCTATCAAGCTTTCACTGTTTTTTTTGTAATATTTTATGTTTTGTGATAACTAAGTACTGAAACTTTTCATCAAAACACTTATAGTAACACAGTAATGGTTAAATGCTATAAAAACTTAATTTTTAAATCTAGAAATGTTGTTGTGTGTAAGGCAAAAGTCATTAGTTTCTTTATTTTAAGAAATTTTGTTAGGTACTGAAAATATTTTGATTCACAAGCAGCCAGGGGTTTGTTGTTGAGAATTCTAAAGAGTTGATAGTTTAGAGAGTTTAATACCAGAAAACTATAATATTGTGTTTGGTATGCTATTTATTAGTTGTATTTCAACAATTTTCATGTTTTTTTTTTATCAGCTATTTTATACATTTTTCAGAATGTAATGAAAGATAAGTGGATGAACATAGGCTTTGAGGATGAGGAACTGAAACCATATGTTGAGCCTATATTTGATATGCAAGATGATAGAAGAATAGGTAAACTTTCTTTTCTTCTTATATAGTTTATTTTTACCATCATGCTTATTACCAATGTTGTATCTAGTAGTTGTATTCGTTAGCACCATTGCAACTTCTAGGTATTTAACACTTATTTTGCAGAATTTGAAATTTGGTTTATTAGAAGAAAAAAATTCACAAGATATTAGATTAATTATGAAATACATTTGTTAATTTTTTTTGTCAAATTTCACTTTTGATTTATAATTTATTAATAAATAAAGTAAAAGTGTTTAATTATATGATAGTCGAGAATATATTTTTTTATGTTGAAGTTGTATTTAACATGGTAATTTAAATTTATTTTTATTACTTCAAAGCAATATTAAAATCTAGGAAGTTATATCATGCATATTCATATTTGTTGTACATGTGCTTAACCTAGATATAATCACAAGGACTGTCATATTTAGCAAAACCTAAAATACATTGAGATATTTTAATTTCTTATTTATCTTATAAAATATCTCGGTATGTTTTAACAAATATGTTGTGTCTGATAAGGTACACTATTCTTGCGTGAAATTCAAAACAAAAGTAAAAAAAAATTACTTTCTTTCTTGATTTATGTAGTTTTAAATCTTGTGGCTTGATGGCAGTTGGATTGAGTTAATTTATTTCTTACTTTCCAACAAAGATTAGTTATTATTTATGAGGTCAGTTGAAACAACTAACCTTGTAAACATTTTTTAATCGTTAGTTTCCATGCTATAACCTTTAATACAGTTCCTTTAGATTCACAAAATTTAGCACTTTTAGTACAAATTGCAAGTCTTTTGTACACAAATAAGTCATATTTTTTAAGGAAGTATTTTTACTAAACATTTGTTCATGAATATATATGGTATTTCTATATACTACTCCGAGTGCAAAGTGATTTTCACATTAAAATTAAGATTACTTTTATTCATCTGAAAAATCTCAAATTTTATTCACATAATCCCTAAAATCTCCTACATAAATTTCAAACGTTTTGTTCCAGTAAAACTTTATATTTTATCTGTTATTTTCTCTACCCTAATGCTATACAAGGTTGGTAAATTTGACTGACCTTGTAACCACCAAAAAGTAATCAAAATAAATTTACATTACTCTTTTTTTTTCTTTCTAGAATGACTTCAAATTATAATATGAGACTACATTTTTTATCCTAAATAACTTTAAACTCATAACAGTGGTATACATCTATTTTAATAATTTATACATAAATTTTATTGTTTTATTGCTCTTTGAACCCTGTCTAACTAGTATTCCTGCTATTATAATTTATGGGAATAAAGGTTGAACTGAAAGGAAAATAGACAATTCTCTGTACAGAAAACAATGTTATATAATACATCATTTGATAGAAAAAAACTTTGGCTTTCTATTGGTTATAAATAATTTAGTATTGAACATCAGAGTGAACTACTGGCAATTTTTGAAAGTGAAGATATGACAAATAGGCATGGCAAAAATGGACTGATTGTCTGTTTCATAGCTCTGTAACTAAATAAGGTTGAAGGCTATTAAAATTATGCTTTGCCTGAGTGATGACAATATAATAGTGAGTAATTTATGTTAAATTTCCTACTTGTTGGAGGGGTAGTAAATAAAATAGAGAAGAGGGGATACCAAGAAAGAAACTGTGACGATTCTCACACTAGGATAAATTCTAGATTTTTGTTTTTATTTAGCCTTATAAAAGTAATAACTTAACTTGTATACTACTAAAATAGGGATTATTATCTGTGTTTTTATGCTATACTTGTTGGTATACCATGAAAAAAAAAGTAGTTTAATTAAATTTTGAATGCAACTCACTAAAACCTTGTGACATCCACAGAAAAAGATGTCTGTGGAAAGAGGGTTAATGAAATAGTACCCATGTCAGAAGTTTTAGAAGAAACATGTAATACCCTAGGTATATTATATCGCTGACATATTTGTGTAGGAAAGATTTAAAAGATGTAAAAATGAACAGTTTGATTATTTTGATAAAGCTTGGCAGTTCAAAGATAGAACAAATGTACACATTTTGGTAAGTTATAATTTGTATTTCATATCTGTACTTATATTTATTCAGTTAATTGATAAAAATGACCATAATAAATATATGAAAGATTAATTTATCAGTAATTTTGTTTGAATTCATAATAAAATATATTCATCATTAATCATGGCTTATGGCACATGATGTCATTATGTGTAGTACAACTTGGGAAGTAAACATTAACAGGTGATTTCTTCAAGATATATGTTGAATATTACCAGTGTCAGTTAAGGGAAATATCCATATAGCAAAATATGGATGGCAGTCTACAATATCAGTAAGTTGGTGATAACAAGTTTTGGAAAAAAATCAAATTAAGAAATAATGAAATGTGGAATGTTTCACTGACAGTAACCATTAATATGCCACATGTAAGAGTTTTCAAGAATATAGCATTCTTTGTTATCTATGAATCATTGTGGAAATAGTTGAACTTGTACCACTGAATACAGTTTACCTAATAATCTGTAATTCAATTAATACATCATATTTGCCAAATAATGTGTAATTAAATGAATATATCATGTTTACCTAATAATCTATAAGTTAATGCATAATTACTTGAATAATATATTAGGAAAATTTAATGTTTGTCAAGCAACAAACAAGATGCTAGAGACAGGAAGCAATATGGACTGAAGGTAAAGATGATCATGCGTAACATACAGATTTGGATTCAGTAGTTTGGTATTATTTTGAAACCAGGAGTTTTCAACCATATTATGTTCTTGAGATTGAGATATTATTTATTCTGGAGATTGAGTAGTGCTAGTGTGGTTGAGTATGAACGATGTGTCAGTGTTTGACATTATGTATAAATCAAGGACTACACCAGAATAAAAGTAATTTCAGTTATTTTAGTATAAGTTATACTTAGTAGCAGATTTTTTTTTTTTAAATGAGCAACATTATTTACGACCAAATTGAAAACTTAAATTAGTGAAAAACATGTTTACATACAGTAACATTCATTTCTGTACCTGTTATTGTAACTTGTGTGAGTACGATTGTACACCATAATTTTGTACAACTGTAAATGCAGTGGATGTTTTATCAGCATGTTTGATTCCATGTGTGAAGTGTCCTGTATGTATAATTGGAATTTACAACATAGTTATTTGTAAGTATAATCTAGTAATCTTGTGAATGATCAAACTTGTGAGAACCTGAAAATATTTTATGTAATGTGATCATTTGTTAAATATATCATCACATTAATTCAAAGATGTCAATATAATATATACATACAGCCTGATTTGTTTTTCTTAAACAACATATGAGTAATGTTCTTCAAGTTCACATATTATAGATAATAAATGATAAATTACAGACATAGATCAAATGGTCAGGGAACAGTTGGAGAATTTCATTTTGCTCCAGGTGTAAAAGCTACTGTAAACAAAAATTACATAAGTTAGTGTATTGTTTTAAAATATGTATTTAGTGAGTGTCAAATGAAATTGCTAAAGTTTTTCAAATTATTTCTCGAAATGTAAGCAATATTGCTAATATGTACTCAGTATTGATGTGTGTAAAACAATGGCAGCTCAAAACAAATCAGAAGTATATATGTAACTTATTATTTTGAAGTCTTTCTTTCTTTTTTTTCAATTCTCTCACCCCTGGATTGGTGCATTCAGCATTGAGGATAAAATTGAACCATTGAATTAAAAAATTATAGAAAATAAACTTGTAGTCATTCTTCCACACAATAAAAGAAAAACAAATACTTTAAAGATAAAATGTATTCAATAAAAAAGTTCATTATTTAATTTCATACATAAAATTTTTTTAAATGAATTTATTTTGGGTTGATTTCAGTATGCTCGAAAGGAAATCATTTGTTTTGTTAATTTCTTGAATTTATTTAGCATAATACACCACTCGTAGCCCTCTAGAAGGAAATTCATAATAGCTTTTGAACCACATGGCATAAATTTGACATTTTAACTTGAATACAACAGTGATTTTTAGCCAATCACTTGTTTTTCAGTCTCGTTGTGTGATGTAATTGCCTATATCTCGGCTTCAAAACATCATAGGCTAGTGATTTAAACACTTTATGAAAGCTCCTTTTTTTTCCAATATAGCTTTAATGTTAGTGGAGAATTGCTTAGAGATCAGAACAATAAAAGCATGGCTTAGTGATATGTTACTGGAACAGATGTTTGTGAACAACTGCTACTACAATTACACTTCTGATTTCATTTAAATCTTGTGAGAAGCTTGCTTTATCATTTAAATTATGGCATTGCAGCATAAGAGGAAAATAGAAGTTTTTATACAACAAAATTAGGTAGACGTACATAAATCATTTGTACTTGACTACATCAAGTCTTTTCACCAACAAGGCCACTATGTTAGACCTTATCAGCTTAAATTACCACTTGAATGGGCAAAAAAACATCACAGAAAGGAAAGGTAAGAAATAAATATTGATCAGATTTAAAACTTATTACATATATTAAATAAAATGGCTCTTATAATTTTTTATAAGTTTTTATTGTATACTAATGATCAGAGTACAGTTAAAATGTGTGCAGTGTTTTTTGAATTAGATCAAAGCTTGAAATTTATACATTTATGAAATATTATAGAAAGTTTTAAAAGGATGTAGAAGGACAAAAATCAGTAATTGAAATCTACAACAAAGATAAATAATTTCAACTGTTCCTTAAAGAACATATTATAATGAAATCTTTTCGAATTTTCAAAGCTGAGAATTCATACAAATATCACATATGAAAGTAAGATAATTTTTTCCAGAAGCTAGGTAATCTGTGTGAAGTTCACCTCACATTTTCAAACTATTTCATTTATTAGTTTTTTTCACAATGCAATAAAACAAACCATACAGCAGGTCTGACATAGTTAATACACATTTTAATAGCTGAAGAGTAAGTTGTCACTTACAAAAAAAAAGACTTAAAAAAAAGGAATTATTTTTATTATTCTATAGGCTCACAACTAATTCTGTTTTTACTACTGAAGTCACAAATGCATTCCAATGGATTTTGGCTTACTTAAAGTCAGAGTAAAAGAGTCTTAAATGAGTAAGAGAAATGAAACATTATAATAATTGTTAGTCTTAAGTTAAACTTTGTTATCTAGTATGTGTTTCTGGGTTAACTCGTACCATCTGGTGTAATATTTTGGGTAAAGTCAAAATTAATTATAGTTTTACAGCCACCTATACCATAACAGTTCTAAAAGTTTTTAGTACAATAACATTTTTCTCTCTCATGTTTTTATTTTCAAAGGAAAGTTATAAATGTTGTTTTTCAGTAATAAAATGGAATCCTTCATCAAAACCAATGGACTTAAATGGGCTAATTTCCTAACTCCATTTCCAAATTTTAAGTACAAGGCATATGTATGTACATTTTGTGATTATTTTAAATGAAGTTTCATATTATACCTAAATTAGATACTAATATAAATTTCATCTTTCATAATTTTCACTGTAACTTATTATGAATGTTGTATTTCCAGAGATTCTTCACAACCTTGGTTACACGAAAGATGAGCTAGAAGATTCACTTAGAAATAGGAAGTATGATGACATAATGGCCAACTATTTATTGCTAGGGAAAAGGCTAACTGAGGTTAGTGTTGCTTGTTCATGTGGAATTAACAATAGTTGAGTCCATCCTCAATCAAGATGGCTCAATGGTAAGCTTGAGAGTTTATAATGCTAGAATTTGGTGTTTAATTCCTGCAGTGCAACTTTGTGCTTTACAGTGAACAAAGCAGTATTTGGATTTTGGAGTACATTTGAATTCCTCTGCTTCATGCTCTGACGAATTACATCAACTTTACATTTTTTGATTACTGCATTATCTAGATGGCTTCTTACTCACAGGTAACAACCAGAAAATAAGGACCACAGTAGACTGTCCTATTTGTACACATTCTTCTTTCTGAAGGCCAGTTCAAAGAATTTGAGTTTTTGAAAAATTCTGTTTCCTAGTTCTTAAGTTGTCTGATGGTAACACTATCCTTGTAGTAGCTTCTTGTTTACTATATCTAATCTAAATATTAATATAAGATTTTTTCATAGCAAATTAAGCAGTTAAAGTATACAATGTCATTTTCATTCATGAAAACATATGTTTTATTACTTCTCAAGTTACCTTGTTTATCAGTAAAGTGACAAAATAAAAAAATTAACAAGATAATGTACAAATCAGAACATGATATTGTTTTAAACTGCAGTAAATTTGAGCATTTGTGGTTTTGTAAAATTGTAAGAGTTTCAGATTTAGTTAAATATAATTTAAATGGCTACAAAATTTTTCTTTTATACAGTTTTGGACAATGAATGTCATTTTTACATGCCACTCCATTTATAAGTATGGCCAAAGCAGCTTCTGTAAGAGTGGCAAAATTTGTATACAAGTCATGCAGCTCATCTATGGAAGTGATAAGCTTTTGACACGTATCATAAAAACTGTACTCTTTCCCAAGACTAGCTAACAGATTTTTAAACCATCTCAAATCCTTCCACAAGCACTTCCATTTCTTCAGCAACAGCAGCAGGATACATACTTGGGGGAAATGGCATGCATGTGCTAGTAAGAACAGACATCTATTTATCAGAATACATTTTATTGAGGTTGTGAATCAAGTTATCAGTTTATTCACCTTTCACGATTTTAAACTCGTCAAGGGAATCTATGTTATTTGATAAATAGCGTGTATTGCTTGGATTGTTTGAAATACGCTCCTGGAAAGTGCTTTCACACTGTTATCTTCTGCTATCTTAAATTCCTACATTTTTATTCTCATGGCTAGGTTAAGATTCTGTCTTTGGAAAAGCTTTGACAGTTTGTTAGTCACTGGAAGTAGATCTAGGAGGAGCTTGAGAGTAAAGGCACTTTTAATTTCTTTCATTAGTTTCAACATTTCTTTTGCTTTGCTTAGCTTTATTGCTTCTAGAAGCCTCCTCTTCAAGTTTTGCTATTACAGCAGACCAAGTTCTACCAAGGGTCTCAACTATTGGCAGTAATGAAAGCTCTCTCACTTCTTTGCCTCCTATAAGAAGACTGCATCAAGCTGTAAAACTTCCAGCATAGGACCTAACATAAAAGATACAGATGTTTCCTACCACACATACTTGAAATGCTGTCCGTGGTGCAGCTAGAACAACTCTGTGTGCAACACTGTGAACAGTTGTCAGTATAGCAGACCTGCCTACTGCTAAGATTTGTTGTAGCTGCTGTATAGTGCTATGCTCATTTTGAAATAACTATGTGGTCATAGAAGACTGCATCAAGCTGTAAAACTTCCAGCATAGGACCTAACATAAAAGATACAGATGTTTTCTACCACACTGTAAAACTTCATCAGATATGGCACTTGGTTTGCTGACATTTCTTACCACACATACTTGAAATGCTGTCCGTGGTGCAGCTAGAACAACTCTGTGTGCAACACTGTGAACAGTTGTCAGTATAGTAGACCTGCCTACAGCTAAGATTTTGTTGTAGCTGCTGTATAGTGCTATGCTCATTTTGAAATAACTATGTGGTCATGTGTACTCAGTTCATTCAAAGTCCTCTGAGCACATCAGCCTGTAAGCCCTGTTAATCTGTTTGCTCTATTGTGGCTGTGCACAATTTCCATGGCAAGCAAGCCACTGGCTATTGAGAGTCTAGTGTGAGTTCTCAATGGCTGCCAGCAAATTATTTTTCTCAAGTGAAAGAAGCAATCATGATACAAAGAAGGTGGCAAGAACAACTAATCAGACTTTCAGAAATAAGTACACTGAGCTATCAACAAACCTTCTTTTGCTACTGACAATTCACCAGTTGGTAGGCAAATGCTACTGAGAGCAAACTTTATGGGTAGGCAAGTGGTATAGGCAACAAAACCAGCAGACAGCAAACCCATTCTTACAACACAACATCATATAAGCATCATCATTCCAAAGCCCAGTAAGATTATCTTAATGAAATACTGTGCTCCACGATGTTTTGAAAGTGTCATTTTACACATTATAGTTTTCCAACAGTGATGTTTAGAGTTTCACCACCATCGGGGCTAATAGCAACTAAGCACAAACTTTTTAGTGATATTAACCCTCTTGCTATGGGCATCATCTTCTACTCATATCACAAAGTTTTTGTGAGTTACATTCAAAATTTAATTAAACTACTTTATCATGGTATACAAATAAATCTGCCATAAAAATGCATTTAATAAAACATATTTTAACCCTTTCAAGACGGGTCACAGGTGAAAGGCCATGTCATCTCATTTGTTGACTCGTATTCAAAATTTTATTGAACTACTATTTCATGAATTGATGTCAATAAGTTTCGTATCAAACTGTAGATTATAATTCAAATTTTAGAACTATACATTAGTCAATTTGTTAGTTTAAAAGTTAAATATTAAAAAAACACAGATAAACACTGTGCTTATAGCACCTCAATAAATTCCCAAAAAAATTTGGGAATTTGTTTAATGTTATATATAAAACCTAAAAAAGTAGTTTGTTTCATATCCTCCACGTGCAAAATTTTTAAAGGTTTAGCAACCTATGTCAAGCAGCAACCAAGTACAAAGGTAGTAACTAGAAGAGATAATTGTTTGCTTTACTTCTTTATTTACTGTTCTATGTTTTAGGAAAATTCATAAAACAGTTTGTATTCTTAACTGAAATTGTTAAGTTATAATAAGTTTAATCAAGGTTTACTTATTATTAGTGCACTTGTGAAAGTACACACTGTTTGTTATGTTGTTCATTCATGACCTAGTGTTTGGAAATTTACATTTTTAATGTGCCCAAATGATATTGACATAATTCGGTTTTATACGAATTAGAAACTCAAATTACAGATATTGACAAGCTAAAATATAAAGTAAGAAGGTCTTATCTTTTCTATTTGCTAAAATTGCTAAAATATTGCTCACGTAATGAATCAAACACAGTGGCACCCCACTCACCTCTTTCCAATTCGGGAATCGCTCCCTTATATACACTTACTTTTACATATGACATGAATAACCAGTCAGAAGCTCAAAATATTCCCCTAGTGGTTTTCTCAGCCTTTCTAACAGTCCTCCCACTATTTCTTTTTTTTTTAGTCAAGATTTCAATGAGGTAGGTTGTGTCTTTAGTCTGCTCAAAATTTCATATTTTTTTACACCCAAATACAGCTTAGTTACTAAGCTTGATAAATTATAGTAGAATTCTATGCTATTGATGTAGTAATTTATGATTTTTTAGTTATTCAGAAATATATATATATAAAACCTAAAAAAGTAGTTTGTTTTATATCCTCCACGTGCAAAATTTTAAAGGTTTAGCAACCTATGTCAAGCAGCAACCAAGT